GAACACGTTGGCCCAATTAAAAAAAACAAAAACACTTTTGTTTGTTGTATTTTCCCCGGTTTCTAAGCAAGAAAGAGGGTCACCCAACAAACAGGCACGCAGCACCCTGTAATAGGGCTACCCCGTTTCAAAATTTGGGCATCGTGGCTCGTATTTGCAGCTCAACATGCTGACTCGGGCACTTGGAACCTTGGGCCGCGTCTTGAACGCATGCAGATCCTGTATGTGGTGATCAAATGGGCAAAAAACAAGCGACAAGCAGCTGACTCGCTGCGCCCTGGCGCCTGATTTGATGGAGAGCTCCATAAAGTGCGGACTCAGCTGCCTCAAGGAACAGGAACCGAGCCTGAAACTATATGAATTCTGAATTCGATAAACGGGAAAAAGAGTGAGCTCGTTTAAGCCCCAGACCTCGCCAACAAAAAGACGAAGGGCAGCCTGCAAGTCTCCAGCCATTTGAAAGCCGGCCAATTCTGTTCGGATGGAGACCCTCCTTCCGAAACTCGCGCTTCAGCGCAGGGCTAGGCATTTTTTTGCCAATCCATCCCATTTGCCAAAAAGACATCTTTGGACTCAGGCCACAGTTGGTTGGGCAATGCAAACCATGCGAAGTCGGGTCGGCATTTGTTCAAGACAAACCAGACTCGATGTCCGATTGAACTCCCCAAGCTGGACCACAGTTGCTCTCCCAACAAGTAAGGCTAGGGGCACCAGGCCCGCCTAAGGCCCTCCCGCCAGGCCGCAACTGAGTTTCCTCCGGGTCCATTAGAGTCGCCTGAGCTGCCGGACCGCTGAAAGGCGAGACGCGAGGCGAATCGCCCATCTGAACCTTGATGGGGGTTGCTAAGAAATGAAGGAGTGGAGGTTGTTCAGTCATGGGGCATGGCAACGGGTGGGTGGGTGTTGGTGGGAGGTCGGCCCTTGACCGCCAGCATTGCTTTCGATGGCAACGCTTGCTCGCACATGGCACCCAGAATGTGACACTTTGGGCCCCAAAGCTTTGCAAGTGGGCAACCACGGTCTTCCAATTGCAGCCGTACAAAGGCCACTTACCCGACCCTTTGATCGGTCTCAAACGGAACGCTGTTTTGAGCTGAGCACGCGCCTCACACTTATCCCATTGACCTGGGTGCCGGACACTCCCAGCTGCAGTCTCCCTGCAGCCCAGTGCCATGAATCTAGATGAGGACCCTGCTAGGGGTTAGGCAGGGAAGATTGCTCCACCAATTGGGAGGGTATTCCTCCTGAATTCACATAACCACAAGTCCAAACCTCTTCTCAGCTCCCATCCCTGAACCCCCCCCCTCCTCCATATCCATGGCACGGCTTGCCGGAGAGCGCGGGGTGCGCCTTTGGCCACGGGGTTCACTTCGAGGATCCCGTCGTCCAAGAAGCGCTGCAGGATGGGCGGGGCCTTCAAGTCATCTTGATTGTTGGCGACGGGCGTCTCCTCCAGCTTACCCCCCGCCCCCCCTTTAAAAGAAACCTGAGCTTTGGACACAGCCGACAGGGTGGCCAAGCAGGATGGAAAGTATAAGCAGTTTGCTGGATCAGGTAGCTCGGCTTGAATATCCCTATGTAGCAAGCCCTCCAAGTTCAGGTTTGAAAGCCCTTGGACGATTTGCGCCCAAGGGAAACGCTTGCAAAAAGCAGTCTGACAAGTTTGAGGTAACTGGCTTCTGAACGGCTCGTGACAGTTCTGACAAAAGCAGCTTGCAGTGCTTTATGTCCTGCATTTCGAGCTCGTTGGCCAGGCTGCAGGATGGGTGAGTTGGGAGTGGGGTGGGGGGGGGGGTGGGGTGTTTGCCTTCATGGTCATTGACAATGCTGTTAGCTGCGTTCACTTGCAGGTTGTCTCCAAGCAAAGCTGTAAGGTCAACAGAAAGCTTCCTGAATTTGCGTATTCATATGTTGCCCTCAACCCACATGGAACCTGATATGTCCAAGCAACAAGGAGTTGGTATGTTCAAATTGTCAGCATTCCAATCAATGGTGGTCCTGAAAATAGTGGCCGCAAAAGGAGTTGTGTATCCGAATGGGTTTGTCACTACATGAAGGGACTCCCCCAGCCCCGAAAACTGTGATGCCTTCTTCCATTTGGAACGCCCAGGGCCCCAAAAACACACCCATGTGCCATGTGGCGCTTCCATCAACCTGCGCCCTCCCCCTTTGGCTTCGGGGCCTCCCCGCTGGCTTCCAGCTTGCTGACCTGACGGGAGACATCGCCCCAGGCGCTCAGGCGCATGGCCCTCCAAATGCCCCCCCCGTCTCTGAGAATGCATCGGGGGATGTCCACCGGCAAATCCTGTGCAGGTCCTTCCCACGAAACGAGGCCATACCCTGACAGGGGCCAGTTGCTGAAAACTTGGTACACGACGCATGCTTCGGCAGCATGCGCTTCCCAGGACAAGCCTGTGGCTGTGACAGTACGAATGGGCATGCAACGTCCAGGTCGGTCATTTCCCCCTGGCCCTACAGGCCTGCAGCTTGAACAAATACTTGTTTCTCCAGGAAATGACATCAAGTCGACAACACTCGATGAGAACCTCCTCTGTAAAGGGAGAAAGTATGCTGAAACCGCGCACATACACATTGCGCCTTTCGTGAGAAAACAACACCGCCCATTTTTGTTTCATCGGAGGTACTAGCAATGGCCACAGACATCTCCAGTGAAAAGCGTGAACCCCAAATAAAAGGTCCTCCAGTAGAGAGGTTAGAATAAGGGTACTTTTTTTTCCTGTAGTCTATTTTAGGGGACTCCTCCCCCAAAACTGGGGGACCTGGACCTAATGAATCTGTGGCCAGAGTTGTGAAATTCCCTACCAGCTCATCTGCGCGGGCCATTGAATGTGGCTATTTTGTTTCTTGTTCATTCTATATCTTCTTGAAAATTCATCTTCCTACCTCAACCTCAAGCGAACTAACCCTGGAAAATAAGATTGAAAGAAAACCAACAATATGAAAGTAGAAATGCTGAAGAATCCATCCATTAGATCCCGAATAATAAATCTGCTATTCCTTACCTTCATGCTGCTATGATGTAAAGACTCTGCGAATTGGGTGAGAGAATCCTTGCCTTTCCGGATTCTCGTCTATCCTTTCCCACCCATCTATTTCTCGCATTTTGTGTGTTTGTGAGGCGAGAGATGGGGGGAAAGCCTCTTTCTCTTTCCTTTGGCTCACCATCTCCCATTCATCTCGCTCCCCAAACAAACCGAAATAGAAAATAGAATGAGAACGGGTTCAAGAAAGAGATCAAACGACGTCTGATTGAACGGACAGTGAATGAACCGCTCCATCTCTTAGTCCTTTCTGTACCAGCGCTTCATCTCTGAGATTGATGGTGTACGAAAGGAAAAGGACAGATTAACCGCTATCCCAGACACACGATGGGATGAGGTGAACCGTCCATAAGCCATCAATCTCCACCTCCTTCCCTCTCCAACATTGATGAAGCTCTGAGACTCTGGAAAGAAATGACAGAGGGAAGAGGTATAGTAAAGAGTGAAGAGGTAAGGAATAAATCTCTTGGTTTCTTCTTTGGATTTTTCTTAGGAACAGAAACTAAACTGGGTGCTCAGTAGGAGGTGCGAAACACAAACAATGAACAACACACACATGCGCGTACATCCCCGAATGCACTGGACATGGTTGAGCGACGTGGAACCCAAGCCGCGGAGCCTGGCTACGAACTTCAGCAATGGCTTTCTGCAGTTCTCCTTCCAGTTTGGAAAGGCCTTGGATTGAACGCCCCGCAGTCCGTCTTGGAAGGCACTGGCTGGGAACTGGGAAGCATGCTGCCGGGATATTGAATTCCTGATGTTTCTGACTCAGCCACATAGGCCACACAACGCACAAGGCCCAGAAACTGTTTGGCCATGGCCCAATTCCCGCTGAATCCCGTATTACTCACATGGATCGATGTGTCTCTGCCAAACCCCCCCCCAAAAGAAAAAAAAAAACATGCGCGAATCCACGTATTCTGCATAGACCACCATGCGCAAAGACTTCAGATGAGACGGCGAAAGGGAGACCGGCCACCTCGAAAATACCCTGGCTGGACACTAGATCCTGTTCCCTCCCATGTCCTGCTTTGCTCTGTGTCCGAGATGCCCGGAGCGTTGCCCCCGAAAGCAACAACAACCGTCTAATTGATCAGCCGCCGGTGATCAGCCCCCGTGCATGGATCAACGGGAAGCCATGGGAGATGAAAGGCTTGCCTTCGACGATGTGGGCGATCCCATAGTTCGCGCCTCCATGACACCCTCACCTCCTAGTGGCGACTCCGGTTCAGGCATTCGTGCAGCCAAGGCACTACTCAAGACTGCGGCCATAGCAACGAACCGCAGAAATTCAGACACAAGTTTGGGTGGCAACTACAGACATGCGAAATTTCACAATGCCGGGCCTTTGGGCGTACAGTTGTCACTGTCTATGCTTCCTTGGTCCCACCCAAGGCCCACGGGGCACGGAGCGTCATAATTTTGACATTGCATTTCCAACCAAACAGTAGTGTCTCTGTAGCCTGTGGTCTATAAACTGAGGGCATTGACTAGCCCTACTTGAGACAAGGGGAGGGCGAGAAAAACCCTGTTCTCGAGCCAAGCTTGGCAAATGCGGGCAAGGCAAAAGGCAACCAGCGAGCATTTGGGATGCATAGTGGCTGACGCCTAAATCAGATGAATGTTTGCTAACAGATTGCATCAAAGCAGCTTACAACTCAACCAACACATGGCGTGTGCTGGCTTCGAATTCCCGCCTTCCAAACCCAAAGGTGAGATACGAAACAGAAGGCCGAATGAATGAATATAGGAACCTCCGGTATGAGACCCTTCTTTGCCGTCAACAAGCAATGTTAATATATAGCGGGAAACCATCTGCCAAAGGGGCTCCCAAATCACCCTGAGTCAATACATGCATGAGCCACAACAAGACATTGATTCATGGAGAAATCTCAGAGAAAAAAGCCTTAGACCGGCCAAATCTTATGAGAGACTGCACCGAAGTGTTGCCCTAGAACCCCACCATCAGACCAAAAACATGGCGCTTTGGGTCCGACCGCCTGGGACCGGCGGAGGCCATCGCCTTCGGCGCTGGCCCACTCCTCCCAGTCTTTGTGGAGGACTCTCTCGAGACCGAGACTCACCAAACCGATCCCGGCTTCGGCGCGCGGTTTGAAACGCGACGTTCTCGGGGTGGGTTTTATTGGAGATCGCCGATTGCATCCGATCGGCCGATGCAGCCTCACACCAACTATCCCAAAAACCAAAGGCATACGGTCTTCCAAAAGGAGTCCTAGGTCCTCCAGTAGAGAGGTTAGAATAAGGGTACCAACTTTTCTGTAGTCTATTTTAATAGGGGAACCCTCCCCTAAAAAAGGGCAAAAGCTAGAGTCTGTGCACATCCGTGTTTGTTGCTGGGAAGGCATTGGCCAGCAAAACTAGTCGCGCTCAAGCCGAAGAGGAGACAACTTGGCAAATGCTTGGACCTGGAGGGCTTCCACGCTTGCTGGTGCAAGGCACCCTCAGCCACACCAAGCTGGGGAATTCGAGCGATCCATGACCGGCAATGCATATGCATGAAACACACTGCACTAGATCATATTACATTACTCTCCGCTGTACTACGTCAAATCACATTCAAACAAGTTGCATCACATTTGTTTACACTCTGCTACATCACATTACCCCATACTGTGTCGCAGCCTGCTACCTTACATACAATCATACCCTCTCTCGCATGCCCACAGCTGCTATGAGTGCCCCAAGCTCTTGTTGAGAGTATGAGCTTTTGGGCCTTTTGTTCGGGTTTGCCTCCAGATTTGGAACGTCTCCATTTGATTTCTCATTAAAACAAGCATTGAAAGGGGTGGCCATCAATTGCAGCCATATGTTTCAAGCCCGCTTGGTGTGTTCGTCGTGTCGTCAGCATGGGCGGACCTGCGTGCTCCGGGGCATGCACTGCCCGGAAGGATGTCAAGCAAACAGGCGACCAGTGCCGACTTTTGCTGGTTACCCTTTTCTCAGAACTGGAAGCAGACAGGGAGTCTCTGAGCATATGAACGGTCATGCAAGGGTAGATTCACAAACTACAGTATGCTTGAGGACACGCGCAGGGAATGGATTCACAATCCAACGTTAAGAAACAAGTTGTCAGCACGGCATGGGTTTCTCTTCCAAATCCCTGTCCACTTTCATTCTTGGAAAAAGGGGTAAAAGTCAGGCTCCAAAGCGTGTCCTTTGTGGACGTGCGTGATGAAGACACCTTCGCCCTTGGTTGTTTTGGAACGGCTTGGGGGTTTGACCCAGGTTGCTTTTGAACCTGGACATGACAGTGAAGGGCTCAGGTGACAACAAGAGACCACAGGTAAAGTGAACACCTCCAAAACACAAAGCCACCAAATTGATGGAGGTTCAGCGCGTCCGCGATTGGGAGACATGCTGCCAAGTTGCCAGGACCTGCTTATACACTGTGTCTATAAACATGGGTGCAACAGCCCCAAAGAGAGTACATCAAGAAAGGACAAACCCACACCAGGGTGCGTAGGTCCCGGCGAGCGGAGAAAGTCCCATATTGGGACGCTGGTCAAGGCTCAGAACTGGCAGCTCTGGATGGTTGGCTGGTGAAGGGGTGTGCTCGATTGGACGCTTCGATCCTGAGCAGCGAGCTTCACCAACGAAACTCACCAACCAACAGGGCTCCCTATACTTCCCCTCCAAACATCACCCCTGCCAAGGGAAACTCACCTTCAACGGGCCAAAAGGTGATGTTTAAAAACTACCAAAATGGGAAATATAGGGACCCCTGACCAAACGAACGTGAGGATCTCGTTGCAAAACAAAGTCGCATGAAGAGAATATCCTGTTTGGAAATACCTCATTTCAGGCTGGTGAGCAGAGGAAACGTGTTTATCCCGTGCACCAAGCGCAGGTATCGCGACCGTTTGTTGTCCAAACACCACATGAGGTGCAGGCAGCCAACCGTCGGTCCAGATGTAACGCCCAGCTGGCGAACAAGAAAACTAAAAGCTGAACGAGTGCACACTGCACTCACATTCAGCAAGCCACATACAAACACTATGGCTTGCCCATGTGCCTTCTTCCACACACACACACCCAAAAAAAAAAAAAAAAAAAGAAGTTCCAAACGTCTGCTCTGTCCTCTTCCTGCTGCTTGTCCAGGAGATCCCGCACGGAGTTTGCAAGCATGATCACATCCGTTTGGGGGTCCCTTACCTGGGCAGCAATGACTCAATGGCGGGCTCCGTGTACCGCGCAAGGGCGAGACTTGACTCCACCAAACTCTGCGCCGATCGACCCGAGGTAAAACTCAACATCTTTGCAGCAAAAGCTCCGAGCGCAGCAGATTGCAGTGGGGGAAGCCCACTTCACGCATGTCTGTTGGCCATGCTTTCAGCTGGCTCACCCAAGCAGGGCTCGTATGAACAGCATGGGGCGGGAACACCTCATAGCGTCTGAAATCGCCAAAATGCTCACCCTCTGGAAAGACGCTGGGACGGCGCCCTCCATACATTATAGATCCATATATTTCCAGTACCACCTGCATCCACCAAGGGATATGTATGAGGAAGGGTCCCTTCAATCGCGAACCCATGAATTTACTTCCGGGTTGTCAGCTTTCAGTTCGGGTACTTGTTGGCAGCGGAACCCCCAAACCACGAATCCAAACCAATTCAACCAAACCCGAGGTTGCAGGCATCAAGGGCTTTCCATCACTCTCGCCCGGCTGCTCGGCGCCAGTTCTCCTGGGAGACCTCCAAGAGCATTCGCCCAGCCTAGCGCAAAACGCGCTTGAGAACAGCTCCTCCCAACCCAGCTGGGTCACCAAAACCAACCTGGTATTGAATACCAAAAACGTGTAAAAAACCACGGAACCCTTTTTGAGGCCGACAATCCTGAAGCATCCTTAAGCGAACAAAAACGACCATTCACAAACTGGGGCTCTTGGAAGAATCGCATAGCAGCGACGCCTGCTGATGCGGTCACAGAATTCGCGCCTTGAGTCGAAGCTTGGAGCGGCACAGGCAGGACTGGAAGATGTAGCCTTGGCACCCAACCTAGAGACTTAAGTTAGCCAGCTTCGCCACAGCTAAGCCCTTGCAATTGGGATTAAGCAGAAAGCTCTCTGCCAGACCATCTAAGAACAAAAGGACCATTACCTTGTGGCCTTTGCCGTCTCCAAGTTCAGGTGGGGTTCGGGGCTTCGGGGTTACACTTGCGCATACGCATCCTGAGAGCCAGATTGTCTTTGCTCCACATCTAAGTCAGCAAAGGGGCATCTGGGGAAGGGGAAGGGGGTCAAACTGTCAGGAAAGTCTTTCTGACCTTGTCAGATTATTTGAAAGATCGGCAATCGGCGATTTGCAATTTGAATGAACAGGTGCCCAAGCTTAATCTAGAAACAAAGAACTTTCGCAAGGTGGCTCATTACACATGCATTCATCTGTATGATCCTTGCATTGTGTTCGGCGTCTGTAGGCGCAAGCGTCGTGCATGAAAGCACTCAAGTGCGGCTTGCGTTGCTTGGGCCTGCACTTGGACGATGTCTGCGCAACAACTGAGTTTGGGTTTCGGCTGTTGTGAAGAAAGCACCCGAATCGAATGAAAGCCAGCTATTCCGCCCACAACATTGATGACCCATATAAAAATATGCCAAGCGAAAGGTAGGTTCATGGGTCACGGGATTGCTTCTCTCAAAGGACTTGCCCTTGGAAAAGGCTCCTCTTTTCCATTGGCAATAGCCCATGAGCCGAACATGGCCTTTGGAAGTTCCGACGCGCACGTCAAGTCCGGACAAGTCGAGCCACTGTTCTGCACCATCAGGATGAATGCGGCGAAATCGGCCAAGTCCACTGGCACCGTGCGAGAGCTGCCTGCTGCTGCGAGTTCGTGAGGCTGACCGGATGGGCGGTAGGATGCTACACGCATGCTGGTCTTTCGGTAGCTGGAACGCGTTTGTTGGAAGCCCTGCGTCCCGTTTTCTGATCCTGATTGGTTTCCCAACGCACAGCCCGAACATGATCGAAGACTAGCCACTAGAGTGCTCGAAGCAATCATCCACTAGCTGCTTGGACGTGTTGCAAGCTGCTTGTCCGGCACATCAGGGGAACCCCTCCTTGACCACCAAATCACCAATCCAAACCACCAAATAGAGGGCAGCTGATGATATAGATTGTGTTTGTTCGGACTCGTTGATTTCAGTTGGAAAATTATCGGGATTTGATACGCAATGTTGCCTCAACTTGGCAGGGCGAGCAGTACAAAAGCCAGGGGTTCGAATCTCCAAACCCACCAGTCCAAACCACCAACTAAGGCTTACCTGATCTCATAGCTGAGGTCCCTTTTGCCTGAAAAGCCGAGCTCGCCATTCGCAGGCTCCTGGCCTCTTCAACCCTGCAAGCTCAGTGGAAGCGCCCAATAGCCTCTTCAAGCACATGTGTGCCGCAACATGGCCGTGGCTGCGTTTCTTACGCAGCATGTGATTGATTTGCAGGAACAGTTTCCACTGTTTCAATGGTTTTTGCACCAAACAATCCATATGTAAACCCTGATCGCATTTGATTGGTTCAAACAAATCGACCATGGTGTCCGAATACAGCGCATATGCACAGTGATGCATACAGCATATTGAAATACAGCGCATGGAGATACTGGAGCAGGCTACCCGCGTGTGGAGCCCGACAGCACGTCACACGGTTTGGGACCCCTACCAGCCTGGGAAGCAATGGGCAATTTCATCTTTGCCGGTTTGCCGATTCAGTGGCATCCTTGGCAGGCAACAATTCCAGGAATGGAAACTGCATGAAACCACCCCAAATCCGGGCAACCTCCTTCCCCCCCTCGCGGTGAATATGGACGTGCCAAGCCGAAGCAGCCTGAGGAGTTTTGAACAGACCTCAACTGCTTCACCCCCGTTCGGCCTTTGGCGTCGTCCCTGTGCTTGCCTGGCCAAACGCTTGCTACGCGCGTTCCTGAAATTGGCGCTGTGGGGTGGTTTAGGGCCGATCCAAATGGTTCCAGGAATAATAGATTTGTCCTGAGCATACGGCTGGCAGGAAATCCCCAAAAAAACTAGAGTGCCAGTCATTTCCCAAACACAAGTTGGAACCCTGACCAAGGTGCTGATCAAAAACTGACTCCGTAAGTTCACTCTGGCAAGGCCCACGTTTACACTCTCAGGTGCAAGATTCACTTTACAAGGCAGCCAATCTGCCACGTGAGCCCTGACACAATTGCGCTCCCCAAAACTGCAAAACAAATCAGCAAACGCATCCACCTTCAATGTTACAAAACTCCCATTTGAACAAGTACAGTACTCGACACAGCGAAAAATTGGGGAAGATCGTGGAACGCCCAGCATGGTGATTCTAAGTGCGTCGCTGCCCAGCCGGATTGGCCAAAGTACCGAGTCTGAATCTGGACGGATGTGGAATGACTTACCGGGGCACAGTGTGAGTGGCCTGGCAGGGTCGTCAATGCTTCACCATCGGATGTGCTCGTTCTTTTGTGGAACAGGGCGGCACAGTAGTATAAAGTCCGGCCACGTGGAAGTAGAGTCTTGCAAACGATGTCCTTTGTGACAAGCACATCCAAGATTTACACGGACGGGGAAAGCAAAATATTGGGAGATTCCCGAACGCTTGTCCATGAGTGGGGAGCCAGGCGGATTGGCCAAACAAGTCAAACTTGTGTCAACTCGTGTTTGCCACTAAATTGGGCTTCCTGAAAGTATAAAGTCCAGAAAGCTTACACGTGAAGAGCAAAATATTGGGAGATCCCGGCCCTCAATGTAGGGACCCACTTATCCATGATTTGCCTTGCACCCGGAAAGCGAACATGAAGGGGAAATGATTCTTCGTTTGAGGTATCCCGCCCCCCCGCCCCCATTAATATGGCTGTGGGTCAAAAACGCTTTACCCCTGGTGAACATCACAATAGGTGGCACATGGGTGTTCATCCGCCGCAAAATGGGATCGCGCTAGTTCATGACCCATGGCCATAGTAGGATTCTTCGTTTGAGGTATCCTGCCCCCCTGCCCCCAGTAATATCAGTAAGGACGGGGGTGGCCGGAAGAGAGCCAAAAGCCCGGGGCCTTTCTGGACCAGCGCCCGCACTGCGCCCAGCAACTCCACCAGCACCTGGCAGACATTTCAGTACACAGGGATCCTTACATTATACACCTGAACACTTCCTTGTAAATGGTGGTTTCCCTTTATTTTGGTGGAAAAAGCCATGTTTCAAATGGGCAAAATGTATCTTTTAAGGAGCCCAGTTACCTGGTAGAGAAGGAATTCGAACCAAATCCTTTTTGTGCTGGTTACCTGGTTGATTCCACTGCCTCAAAACAAGGAGGCAGAAGGCCTCTGAACAGGGCTGCCATAAGGGGACATGCAACCTACCCAAAAAATGCAAAACGAGGGGCGCAGAACGTGGAATTCGTTCCGCAATTTGAAGATTCGCGTCCATGTGAAACTGTCCCACAGAGGGTGGCAGATCCCATTTGCAAGTGTTATGGATCCAATTCAAGAAACACCATGAGTTTGGCAAACCAATCATGTGTATGGGATGTACGATTTTGCAGGCTTCGTATGAACCCCTCCTTAAGGGCTGTTCAGGATCCTTGCTACCAGTTGGATGTCGTTTCATCATGGCACATCTGGGCAACAATCAAGGCTCTTTTGCGGCGAAGGGACCTAGGTGACCTCGGGTCCAAGCTGTCACTACGTGGTAATAGGGTACTAATACGGGTGTGGGTCAAAATTAAACCACCAGGAATTGGACCACAGGTTTTAGTCCTTGGTTCCATTTACCAGGGATACATTGCGGGTACCATTCTTTTACCCACAGCCATACCATGAAGGCCGATCGTCCATGATTTCGCCATTCTTCAAAGTCATTCCCGGGTTGAAGGATCAAACAGGTTCACTTGGACTTGATCCGACAGCGAAACCACAAGGGACGCCATTGAACTGTCTATGCTGCTGGGCTGTCCTCAGATCCCCTACTAAAAGTTCAACTTTTAGTGGGTTGAATGAAAACCCCACTGAACCGCAGAGAAGATCTAAAAAGCTAAGGAACCGGATGGCCTTCGGGAGCCACCAAGGCTGGCTACCTCTGCAAACCTCGCAGAGTGCAACTACCGGCCTTGAGCAGCGCAGGGATCCCCACAAAGGCGTTGGCTTTTGCCCGCTCTAGGCAGAGCGGGAGGAACCTGAGCGATGCTCAGAAGGAGAGTGACATGCCATGTAGTTGATGCATCCCATTCATATGGACAAAATTCCATTTCGCACGACCAAAGAAACCCTGGCATGATGATTCCCCTGTAAATGCCAACAAACAGTAGTTTCCCATGGTTTCAAAGTGGTGCAGGATTCGCCAACCCTTGCATAGGATTCATCCATCCCAACTGGTGCAAGAGGTAGTACGGCATGTCAGCCATTTCTTTTTATGGGGCCCGAGTTAGTGAACTGCGCACACCGCCCTGCATCCAGCATAACACATGTCTTTTTTTTTGGGGGGGGGGGCTGGTCACGTGGCACCATAACAAGCTATAAATTTGAGCAGAGTTCATTTGCTGGGCTTTCGAGACACACATCATGGGTGACCGTGCTAACTGGTTGGAATGCTGCACAAATGGGGCGGATATTTTCCCAAACAATTCCCAAGGACGGCAAGGCCATCAAGGATGCACCAACACATCATTGGGTCTGTGCTTGGAGGTTACCCGCTGGGTGTTCTAATGCACTCACTGCCTTTCAAGTGAGTAAAAACGATCGAGCTGAACCAAAAGTCCAGAAAGAAACCCTAGGATAATCTAAAGACATGAAAATCCTGGACGGCAAACCTCAGTGATCTCAGCCTGGGCATTTGCTGGGATACCAAAGTGGGATTCCAATCTCACTATATATGGCCACTCCCAGAAGCTTCCACACAAACCTGATTGACCCTGGTTGTCGAGATCCAGCACCTGCGCCCCTTTCCCTCCATCTCCCCCAGATTGGCCAAAAGCGCATTTTCTTCCGCCAGCTAAAAGCCGAACAACCGCAAAACGCCGCCCCCAGATCCGCCCCCAGCCCGCCCACCCCAAGCCCTCTCCGTCGCTCGCTCGCTCGCTCGCGCTCGCTCGCGCTCGGGTTCTCGGGTTCTCGGGTCCTCGCTCCGGTCGCTCCGGTCGCTCCGGGGGCCCGGGCTCGAGGATCACCGCCTGGTTCTGGACGCCGTCGGCCAGGAAGTGGCGCAGCAGCTCCCGGTGCTCCACCTGGCCCAGGCCCTGCCAGGCCTCCTGCAGCCCCTGCAGGTCCTGGCAAGCACGCCCAAGGGGAGGGAGGGGAGGGAGGGGAGGGGAGGGGGAGGGGAGGGGAGGGGAGGGAGGGGAAGAGAGGGGAGGGGGGGGGAGGGAGGGAGGGGAGGGGGGAGGGAGGGGAGGGAGGGGGGGGGGGGGGGAGGGGGGGAGGGGGGAGGGGGGAGGGGAGGGAGGGGAGGGGAGGGGAGGGGAGGGGAGGGGGAGGGGGGGAGGGGAGGGGGGGGAGGGAGGAGCCCATTTGTTAGTTTGAGTTGGGAAGTACTATGATTGTGTTTAGTTCTTGTTTGGTGGTTTTCTTGATTTGCTCTTTAGAAAACGTGAAGGAAACCAGCCATTTGCCACTCGGAAGGGGGAAATATGGCCGCTCCAAACAAGCAAACTTGTCGCAAATTAGGGTTTGCCTCTATCATCCAAAATGAGTGCCGCCAATGCTTTGCTCGAAATGGGTTCCACCAGCAATAGCACCCCCATGTGCCTGTGGCTGTTTCACAAGGTTTTGTTCATTTGTTGTTCCTTTTTTTTTTCGAGGAGACCAAATGAAAAGGTAGCCAATGTAGGTGCACAGAAACTGTCTTTTGCTTGTTTGTCTGCTATGTGAGTAAGCTTCAGCAGAGCAACGTCTGGCCGATAGACTACAAGGACACATCTCGCCGAACCGTTGGTTGATGCAAAGGCACAAAGCGTAAGTCTCTGGCTCTTTAGGCCGCACCACAACCACAAAGCTGGATATTTGAAGCAAAATGCAAGCCTTACAACGCCATACCGGCTGTCGCAAGCGGCCCCGTGAAAGCTAGCTCAGTCGCGGAATGTCTCAGGTTTGCCATACATTAAAGTCATGAAAGCATGCTAGCTTCTTGACATTTGGGCTTAATGTTTGAGGACGAACTCTGCGAGACTTGACCAGGCAGGTTGCTGGCTGAACACCCTCGGTGCCAGCGCCCCGCGTCCTGAGGCTTCTGCGCCCGGCACAAGCCTTGGTGCATCTTGACCATGCTGCTGTGCGATTTCATGGGTCAAGCGGGGTTGACTTTTGAGACAATGGCGGTAAACCAAGACAATGGCATTGCAAGAAAGGTGATAATGAGAGATCGCCAGACCTAATGATGCCTGGATCCACCCCCAAAATCTGACCAAGCCACCCATACCCTTGAACCCCTCAAACGCCTGCCACACTCCCCACCCCCCAACCCCCCCAACCAACCCCCCCAACCAACCCCCCCAACCAACCCCCCCCCCCAACCTCCGAAACCTCAACCGTGGGGCAGGCCAGGCGTACCACCGCCAGGTCTGTGGTGTTCTGCGGGCGCCGACCCAGCTCCAGGCCACGGTGGTGGATGTAGGTCCAGTACAGCGCCGTGGGGTCCTCTCCGGTGGCACCACACCACTCACCCCCCAGACCCCCTGGAAACCGCAGTTTTTTTGGCCATGCGATTAGAAGAGAATCCTCCGAACAAAGGGGGGAAGGGGGGGCCAATGTTTTCAAGCAGGCCCGAAACACCCTACACAAACCCCCCGGAAGTGAACTTCTTGCCTTGAAAGGGGAACTGCGCAAAACGGAAGCAGGAACCTGGAGCAAATCGCCGGTAGAAAAGGCACACCCTTTCTGAGGTGACTATTTCAAAAGGGCACCCACCAAACAGGCAAAAGGGGGGGAGGGCGCCAACCTGAGCAAACCTTCTGAGTCTAGTTGGCCAAAGCCTCACTTCCCAACCGATATTCCCGTCCACTTTTGATGGTGAAGCCCCATGCGGTGCCCAACGAGTCCGCGGTCGAAGCTTCAACCGTGGGAGACCGGAGGGAGTGAGCGTGGCGGCCGTGGTGTGTGTTTGGGTTTTGGGGCCCGAAAAGATGGATGGTTTGATACACCAAGCTGGCGAGAAGACATGGGTCGCATGAACCGCTGGCGAACCATTACGAAGGCTGGCGGCTAAGGGGCTGCAGGCCCTTAAGCCGTTTGGGAGGATATTGCCCCTTGGCAAGCATGACCCTACATCGGTCCAAAATCAGGGCCTCGGCATGCCAAGGCACCCGATTGACCCACTTGTTTGGATGTTGCGCTCGCCTTTTGCGGTTTTTGGCACTCGTTTTTTGCGGCCAAAAGTGGCACGGACAAAAGACATCCTCACCTGAAACACCTGTTTAGACCAATTGCGCCGATTTGCGCACCACTCCCGCACGAGGATAGGATGGAAGGGGTTTGATTGAGGGCTTTGAAGCGTTGGTGAGTTCAAAAATTACAAAAGAAGCAAAAACCGGGCTTCGTGCACCAAAACAAATGAGGAAGAAAGCCCGGTGCAACAAGGAAACACCCAACAATTCAATTCCTATGCTGTTCAGTCGTTTTGCGGTAAAAGTGGTACCACATAGGCAAAGGCAAATTACAATGACCAAAACGACCGTTTTTTGGTGGTCGTTTGAAGCTGCTTGGGCAACTATAGGGACTCCTGAACGCCGAAACACGGCTTGAGTTACAGAGGCCGACAGCAGCGCAATCCACGCAACCACTCAGCAGCCCCAGGGATTGCAACCCCTTGATTGACAATGCTTGAGCCACTCAAAACAGATGAATCAGCCTCGTGTTGGATTCCCTTTCCATGAGAAAATAAAAGCGACTTCAGCAAATGGACCGCTCGCGGAAATGTCGTCTTCTCTCAAGATTAGGGACCCCAATGTCGCTAACCTTTCGGCAGTCCCTGTTCGAACCAACCAACCAACTCAAACCAACTCAAACCAACTCAAACCAACCAGCCAACCAACCAACTCAAACCAACTCAAACCAACTCAAACCAACTCAAACCAACCAGCCAACCAACCAACTCAAACCAACTCAAACCAACCAGCCGACCAACCAACTCAAACCAACTCAAACCAACTCAAACCAACCAGCCAACCAACCAACTCAAACCAAACCAACCAACTCAAACCAACTCAAACCAACTCAAACCAACTCAATCCAACTCAAACCAACCAGCCAACCAACCAACTCAAACCAACTCAAACCAACTCAAACCAACTCAAACCAACTCAAACCAACCAACTCAAACCAACTCAAACCAACTCAAACCAACTCAAACCAACCAGCCAACCAACCAACTCGAACCAACTCAAACCAAACCAAACCAACCAACTCAAACCAACTCAAACCAACTCAAACCAACTCAAACCAACCAGCCAACCAACCAACTCAAACCAACTCAAACCAACTCAAACCAACTCAAACCAACTCAAACCAAACCAAACCAACTCAAACCAAACCAACCAACTCAAACCAACTCAAACCAACTCAAACCAACTCAAACCAACTCAAACCAAACCAAACCAAACCAACCAACTCAACCCAACTCAAACCAACTCAAACCAAACCAAACCAAACCAACCAACTCAAACCAACTCAAACCAACTCAAACCAACTCAAACCAACTCAAACCAACTCAAACCAACCAGCCAACCAACCAACTCAAACCAACTCAAACCAAACCAAACCAACCAACTCAAACCAACTCAAACCAACTCAAACCAAACCAAACCAACTCAAACCAACCAGCCAACCAACCAACTCAAACCAAAGCAAACCAAACCAAACCAACCAACTCAAACCAACTCAAACCAACTCAAACCAACCAGCCAACCAACCAACTCAAACCAACTCAATCCAAACCAAACCAACCAACTCAAACCAACTCAAACCAAACCAAACCAACCAACTCAAACCAAATCAAACCAACTCAAACCAAACCAAACCAACTCAATCCAACTCAAACCAACTCAAACCAACCAGCCAACCAACCAACTCAAACCAACTCAAACCAACTCAAACCAAACCAAACCAAACCAAACCAACCAACTCAAACCAAACCAAACCAACTCAAACCAAACCAAACCAACTCAAACCAAACCAACCAACTCAAACCAACTCAAACCAACTCAAACCAACTCAAACCAAACCAAACCAACTCAAACCAACTCAAACCAACTCAAACCAACCAGCCAACCAACCAACTCAAACCAACTCAAACCAACTCAAACCAACTCAAACCAACTCAAACCAACCAACTCGAACCAACTCAAACCAAACCAAACCAACCAACTCAAACCAACTCAAACCAACTCAAACCAACTCAAACCAACTCAAACCAACTCAAACCAACTCAAACCAACTCAAACCAACCAGCCAACCAACCAACTCAAACCAACTCAATCCAAACCAAACCAACCAACTCAAACCAACTCAAACCAAACCAAACCAACCAACTCAAACCAAACCAAACCAACTCAATCCAAACCAAACCAACTCAAACCAAACCAACTCAAACCAACCCAAACCAACTCAACCCAACTCAAACCAACTCAAACCAACTCAAACCAAACCAACCAACTCAAACCAACTCAACCCAACTCAAACCAACTCAAACCAAACCAAACCAAACCAAACCAACCAACTCAAACCAACTCAAACCAACTCAAACCAACTCAAACCAAACCAAACCAAACCAAACCAAACCAACCAACTCAAACCAACTCAAACCAAACCAAACCAAACCAAACCAAACCGGAGTCTCCTTTTCGAGGACCCGCTTCAGCACTGCCAGCCCCGGCAACGTGGCCCGAGCGTTGCTGTTGGTCATGAACCGAGACCCACGGCCGCCCGCCAGGCCGCTCAGGAAGCCCAGCAAGAAAAGCACCTGACACCCGCCGCCAGTTTTGCATCGAACTAATTCCCGGCGAAACCCGTTTTGAGGGTACCCATGGTAGGATACCCTGCCCACCAACTCATCACAGGGAACCTGACGTTTGGGGAAGGTCCTGGATTGGACCAGTTTCCTTTTAAAGGGACCGGGTCCCTGTCAGGTTCCATTTCAATTGGTGGGGAGAGTAGCGCCTTTCATAGGCGAAGGAACGTTTGGCGCTATTGATGCCTACTGCCATTGTACAACACACATGGGCCAGGGTTTGATTCCGTGTCCATTATTTTCAATCAGCGCTTTTTCAAACTTCATGCATTTACCCTGGGTGTTGGTGAATGGGGAAGTCACCCAGAAGGCCCTGAGATACACAAACATTGTGGTGCCCAAGAAGCAGCCAAGTAATTGTTGCAAAACCACAAATCAAGCTGCAGCAAATCCGCTGTCTAAATTTACTATACACTCGGCTTTCCTTGCTCCCTACTTGCCACATAGAGGACATCAACTCTACTTCTCTCCACCTTTCCCTGGTAGAAGTGGTTTGTTTGTGCCTGCATGCAAAAGTCTAACCGTTTGCGAGACCTAGTTGGGGCCCACCAGTGCTTGCCTGGTTTGTATGGAGAATCTGGGAGACAGGGCAAGGGAACCTCCTCGAGGCAGGTTTTTCAACTTGAGCTTCCTGCATGTCCTTTGGATGCCTCTCAAATGCTCCATAGTTACAGTAGGTTCAGTGCAACCTGCGCCTCTGGGGGGGGCATGTTTAAAGCGGGGGAGGGCCAGTGGCATGGCTCATGGTGCTGAAGGTTGAAGCCAAAACTGCACGAGCATCGGCAACTGCCTTCAATCTGATGAAGCAGAGCGAGGCACGCAGCCACACTCTTCTGCAAAGTCAATGGGAACAACGCTTAGCATGCTTTTGGCCTGTCACTAGGTGAGCCCATGATATCCCAACACCAGCTCAACACGTCTTGGAAAGAGGTCACGTCGTGCGCTTCAAACTCCAGCTAACATCTTTGGCTCGGCATGGACCATCTTTTGGAGCACTAGAAAAACGGGTGAAGCTACAAAAAATGCCAGCTTGGCATACACGGATTCAACACACACGCGCGCGCGCGCACACACACACACCCAAACACATGATGAAGTTTCACGATTCCTACGGTTGTAGAATATGACCCGATCTGTTATACCAAAATGGACCATTCCAATGACTATTTTGTCATCTCAAAGGTCCCCCTGGTATCACAAAAAGTGGCCTTAAAGCCCGCCATTTCCCTACCAAGCTCCCGAGCAAGCAACAGGTACTGCGCAAGCAAATCCATCCGAGCAGCGTAGAACTTCAAGGTCGCCTCACCTGGGCTGCAAAGTTGCAGATTAGGCAAGCAACATGCCGAGCTCCAAACTCATACCCTCCAACAATCATGGAAGCTGCTTTGGAAGACTACTTCCCTTTGGGGAGCCTCCATGTCCACTTCCGTGATTGTTGGAAAGAGGGTAGGATTTACGGAATTTCCTGCTCAACCTTGGGGTTGAGAGTGCTACATTCCGAGATCAAAGTGGCGATTTGAAAAAACTTGGAAATCCGCACAGGGATCATGAGGGTCCAAGCAGAAACTGAGCCCTGCAGCACAACACGGGTGCTTGCAAGCAATACAAGCCTGTTAGATCCACCAAATTGACGTATACATTCATTGCCCTCCCATTCACCATGCGCTGTTTGCAAATTATATCTCTTCCAAAACGAAGCGCACACTGGCAATGCATAGCTCCAAACATGGAAAGTGCACTGCCGCTGGAGCGTCGGATATTGTCGGATCCATCGGTTTCGGTCCTACTGGAAACCTGGGAATCCGCGCCGTCGTTGTTGAGGATAAACTCCTTGAGCTGCAGGAGGTTGGCAGGTACCTGCCACCCGACCGAGTTGAATCTGGCAACTGGGAAACCGTCTGGGGACAGTCTTCACATTTATGGGACCTAATGGTGACGCGTACCTGTGACTGCCAACATGGGGCTCCGCACGTCCTGCCCTGGGCTTCAATCAGACAGTCGCAAGGAAAACGTGAATACCAGTGTCCCGACATGTGCCACCGTAAATAGCCCATGCTTCTGCCACATGAGTCACAATCAAAACCTGGTACAAAAATGGTGAACCCAGAACCATGTGAAGAATTAGAAAGGCGGCCGCAACTATTTCCGGCTGGGACTGCCCCTTACTAACCTTCGGTTTTGATTGTAGCTCACATGACCTCCCGCATTGGGTCAACATCAGCATTTCTGGACAAAGACCGAGGCACGTTTTCTCCCTGTAGCATCTGCGCAAAGTTGAAGTTCAGCTGCAGCGACAAAGTGGCCGTCCTCGTTGCAGGGGTCACCTTTGACTCCCTTTCCAAGAAACTAGTTATGCCAAGAGAGTTGCTTTGCTTTTTTGCAGCCACCCACCAAGTCATCAGAGCCAAAAACCAACTAAAACACAAGCCACGAACAGCTCACGGTGATCTGCGGCCATAAGACCACATGGCCTTGAATGGCACGCCCCATCGTTTGGCAATGAGCTCTGGCTGGTTGCATCAGGGAGCTACCTGAATTGAATGATGGAAAAACATGGCACGGACATAGTCAGGGTAACAAGGGGGGTACAGGGCTCTCTGGCAGCGGGGGCTACAAGGTTCTCTGGTGGCTCGTGTGAGGCCCCATATGGGCCCCATCAAGTCAAAAAGCATCAGAGACGCGCACTGCGACGACGGGAGTAACTTTACCCCACATCCGGCGAAAGCGCGAATGCTACAATAGGACAAATAGCCGAATCCATCTCCCTGTTTCAATTGGCCCCACGCAAACTTACTGCTGGACTGGGACCGAAGTGAGCGATAAACAAAATGCAAAGAAGAAACCAGAATATGCCTCTTGGAGTTTGCCAGGGTTTGGGCATGTTGTTTGGTGTCTGGGTCCACTCCAGCAAGTGCAGGTCATATTCATCTACAAGCTTAGAATCAGGTTGGCAAGACTTCAAGAGCGTGCCGCTTAAGACAGGCTTCTGCATGTCAACTGGAGCGGCTGATGCGATCGATCACTGCTGCTTTTGGAGGGTTGGATAAGGAGCAATGGCTCGGCCTCTGCCTGCGATCGCACGAAAACCATCGCCAAGGGGCACCAAATTCAGCACATCCTCTGGCAGGTCCGTGCCCGAGGGCAGGGCCCGCGGGTGGTTTACCTCGAAGGCTCGGCTAGATGGCGGCTTGTTTACAGAACCAGCCTCTGGCTTAACCAGTAAGAGGCTTCTTTCACAGCAGCGGTTGGAAGGCAGTCCTTGGGAGCCCGAAAAAGTAAGTCTGCATTGGGAGTTTCAACCCATATAGAAATGCGACCAACATGGAACCGACAGCTATTTGGAAAGGTAGGGACAACGGGACCCATGCAAGATGCTTGGAGTGTTCGTGCAAAAGCAACCAGCCGCCCTGCCACGGGATGCCCCAACCAATGACTCCCACAGCAGTTGTGCAAAAACGCGCACTTTTCAAGCAACCCAGCCAGGGATAGAGTGCTGGGAGGAGCATGCAGGGATTGAATGCCCGTCCTTTTTCGTACCCTTGATGGATCGTAAGCCCAAAGCGTAATGGCCGGCGCCGACAGCCCCAGCATAGCCTGTAGAAAAGGCCGCCCAGCATCAATCAGCATCAGCAACTGCTAGGCTGTGCCTCTAAAATACGAGAAAGGTTGCTGTTTCAGCAACTCGGCAACTTCATTTTCGCAACTGCAGCCACAATTGAGATCTGGAATGGCTTGTGGCTAATTTTCCTTGTTCCCTAACATTCCCTACACCGGCCCTGCTGTTCCTGCTGCTTTTGTTGTTCCTGCAGGTCCTGTTGTAGGCTTGTTTGTGTGTGTGTGTGTTTACGTTTGCTTGTGCGTCTGTTCGCGTAGCTGGTTGGCTGCTTGCTTGCCGCCTGCATTCTTACTGTTGTTGTTGTTGCTGTTGCAGTCTCCCGGCTGCCGCTCCAGTCGCACGTGCGAAAGGTAGTTTCACGATCGCTGTCCTTGACTTTGCGGGGATGCCTGTCTCATTGCAATTCCAGCGCGTTCACAGCACGCCCAAGTGCACCCGCGCAGCCCTGCACACATGCATGCCACATTCAGCCCGCCCGCTCAAAAGGAACTGGCTGAGCACTGCACGCACCACATGGATGGCAAGCGCACCCATCATAGGTGCCAAAGCCCCCCTGGAAGCCTCATGGTAAGTGCACCCCTGGACAGCCCGGGCTCTTCTCTGTGAAGCAGGGCGTGGCTTAGCCATGTGGCCAGCCCATAGGGGAGAACGTTGGTTCTGCCACGCGACCTGGGCAGCAGTGCGTCGCCGGCTGCTGCTGCTGCTGCTGCTGCTGCTGCTGCTGCTGCTGCTGCTGCTGCTGCTGCTGGTTGTTATTGTGTTTGTTGTTGTTGTTGTTGTTGTTGTTGTTGTTGTTGTTGTTGTTGTTGTTGTTGTTGTTGTTGTTGTTGTTGTTGTTGTTGTTGTTGTTGTTGGTTGTTGTTGTTGTTGTTGTTGTTGTTGTTGTTGTTGTTGTTGTTGTTGTTGTTGTTGTTGTTGTTGTTGTTGTTGTTGTTGTTGTTGTTGTTGTTGTTGTTGTTGTTGTTGTTGTTGTTGTTGTTGTTGTTGTTGTTGTTGTTGTTGTTGTTGTTGTTGTTGTTGTTGTTGTTGTTGTTGGTTGTTGTTTGTTGTTGTTGTTGTTGTTGTTGTTGTTGTTGTTGTTGTTGTTGTTGTTGTTGTTGTTGTTGTTGTTGTTGTTGTTGTTGTTGTTGTTGTTGTTGTTGTTGTTGTTGTTGTTGTTGTTGTTGTTGTTGTTGTTGTTGTTTTTTGTTGTTGTTTGTTGTGTTGTTGTTGTTGTTGTTGTTGTTGTTGTTGTTGTTGTTGTTGTTGTTGTTGTTGTTGTTGTTGTTGTTGTTGTTGTTGTTGTTGTTGTTGTTGGTATTGTTGTTGTTGTTGTTGTTGTTGTTGTTGTTGTTGTTGTTGTTGTTGTTGTTGTTGTTGTTGTTGTTGTTGTTGTTGTTGTGGGTGTTGGTGTTGTTGTTGTTGTTGTTGTTGTTGTTGTTGTTGTTGTTGTTGTTGTTGTTGTTGTTGTTGTTGTTGTTGTTGTTGTTGTTGTTGTTGTTGTTGTTGTTGTTGTTGTTGTTGTTGTTGTTGTTGTTGTTGTGGGTGTGGTTGTGGTTTGTTGTGGTTGTTGTGGTTGTTGTTGTTGTTGTTGTTGTTGTTGTTGTTGTTGTTGTTGTTGTTGT